CCTAGGAACAAGAAGCTCTTCAGTCATGAAGGTGGACCTGCAATGGCATATCATGGTGTCCACTATTCCTTCTGTTTACTACTCAGATCCACTTCTTGTGTAAGTTTTGGGAGCAGCTTGATTTTTCTGCAGGAAGCTGATGGTTCATGGGATAAGCCACATTTCCCACAACAGCTGGTCTTGAAGCCCCAACTAGATAACATCATCTTCCTCTTCTATGCATTTTCGATGCTTCTCACCCCCAGGAAGCACTTATGCTGAGTGCCTAGTCACCGTGTTCTTTTCTGGCCATAGTTGCTGCACTTCTCTATTTACTCTCAACATTGAGCAATGGTGTAACAAAGACACAGCCAGCTGGACTGTCTGGGTGCTAACAAAGTATCTTCCTCTTTGCTCCCATTGTGTAACTGTAGCCCTGGCTCTTCCTGATAATCAGGGTCAATTACTGCTGCTAGGATGGTGACGCCTGCTCCTTGCCTGCTGGTCCCTTGGCATAAGGAGCTCAAAGTGTCTGGTGGCACCTGAAGGTTAAAGTTCAATAGGATTTTTGTTATAGCCCCTGATGAAAATACTTCCGTTTTGGGAACCAGGGCCTCAAAACCCTCAAAGTCCACAGGTGCAGTGAGCAATACCCAATGGGATCACTGGGCTTAATGGTACGTGAAGCCACTCCTACTTCCACCACTTGCTTCTGGACCTATCTGTTCTTATTGGGACATAGCACCATACTGACTGTTGACAGAGTGTACATGGTGTCATGGAAGGTGGTACCCTATCCTTAGTTGGTATCATCTCTGTGCTGGGACCTCAGCTATGCCTTTACAGTCTACTCCTTCTGTTCATGCTGGCATCTGGATGGTATAGAATGTGATAAGGCCAGTGGATCCCATGGTCACGTGCCACGGTCATGCCTCCTTTGCTGTGCAATGGGTCCTTTGGTCTGATGCACTGTTTTATGGGATCCTATGTCAATAGGTCAGACATTCAGTAACACTCAAAAGATACTGGTGCTGGCTGAGACCCTGCAGGCAGAAAAAAGCAAACACCCAGAATGTAGCAATTTCAGTCAAAATAAATTGTTGCCTTTTCCAGGATGGAGAGTATCCAACGCAGTCACCTTGTCATCCAGCCTGGTTGCTCTCCTTGAGGAATATTGCCATTTGGGGGGGCTCAGCATTGGATTAATTGCTGGTAGTTTGGGCATTCAGCAGTGGCCTCAGCTTTTGTGAGTGGAGCCTATGTTCTTGGATCCATGTATTACTCCCATTCCTGCTACCATGGCTGCTCCATTCACATACCCATTGTGCTGGTACTGAGGTGGCTGATAGCATCTGGGGGCCATCAACTGGCAAGTTATTCTTCCTACTTGTTCTTTAGGGCCTCTTTCCGGGTAGATACTCTCTGCAGGGCATCTGTACACTTCTTGTCTACTCAGAGTCCACCTATATACTCCTCTCTCTCCCAGACCTTTTGTTTTTTTTTAAGTTTATTTTTGACAGAGACAAAGACAGCATGAGTGGGGAGGGGCAGAGAGCAGAGACAGAGAATCCCAAGCAGGCTTCATGCTACCAGTGCAGGGCCCAATGCGGGGCTTGACTCACAAAACCGTGAGATCACGGCCTGAACAAAAACCAAGAGTCGGACATGTAATCGACTGAGGCACCCAGGCACCCTTCTCCCAGACCTTCTTGTCTTTTTTTTTCATGTGCACTTATTTTTGAGAGAGAGCAAGTGAGCGCATGTGGGGGTGGGGGGGAGGGTAGAGAAAGATGGCGACACAGAATCTGAAGCAGGCTCTAGACTCTGAGCTGTCAGCACATAGCCTGATGCAGGGCTCAAACTCATGAGCTGTGAGATCATGATCGGATGCTCAGCTGACTGTGCCACCCAGGTGCCCCTTTTTGTCCATCTTTCTTTCTCCTGCCAGGTCCCCAGGTCCCCAGTCAACCAGCCAAATCAACTGCCAGTGCTGTGAGTCCATATATATTTTAACTACTGCTACATTTCCACACAAAGTGAATGGCCAGATGCACCACTGAGGATTTATCCTTTGGGAGAATTTTCCTGGCCACTGTCTTTCAGGATCACCTCAGGGTAGGGCTATAGTACAGACACCATTCATTTTCTACTTGTATCCACGTACCATTCAGACCTATCAGCAAATTAAATTTTGCTTTTTTTCCTTGTTAGCTGATCAAAGGGACCTCACTTCCTATGTAACCATAGGTATGAGTTGAGGGCAGAGGCGCTGGTGCAAAAACGGTAAGTGACATGAATGTCTAGGTCATCTGCTGGTAGAGTTTACTTGTGCCCCTGATCCTGTCCATACCCAATTCTGGATGTACTACTTCTGTCCTGCTATGAATCATTGCTGGGCCTATTTAACTTTATGTTTTAGTAGGTCTAAAGGGCAGAACCTAACTTACACAAGAAAAGCTCACGATGAAGAATTTGGGGCCAACAAAAGTATACAAAGGGAATAGTTTTTCAACTTGTTCTGGGGATACACAAGCAAAAAGTTTGTGGATAATGGATTGGAAGGGAGGTCAGGCCAGAGAATACTGTTAGGGCCTCAACATAAAAGTAGAAGAGAGAATGGTGTAGAAGAAATTGATCTATAAAATTCTAAAGTGGAAGAATTGGTAAGTTGGTACAGAAATGGAGACAGCAAGCATATTTATGCCATCCTTTAAAAAAATTTTTTTTTTAACGTTTATTTATTTTTGAGACAGAGAGAGACAGAGCATGAACGGGGGAGGGGCAGAGAGAGAGGGAGATACAGAATCAGAAACAGGCTCCAGGCTCTGAGCCATCAGCCCAGAGCCCGACGCGGGGCTCGAACTCACGGACCGGGAGATTGTGACCTGGCTGAAGTCGGACGCTTAACCGACTGCGCCACCCAGGCGCCCCATATGCCATCCTTTTAAAAAACAAAATCACAGCTGTGAAAGGAAGGAGAGAGGTGGTCTCTGAAAAGAGGATGAGTTAAAGGTCTCTTTTTCTCAAAACTTTTTTGAAGATGGACTTATGTTTATGTACTGAAGGAAGAAGCAGTAGAGATGGAGAACAATGGCTAGATTTGAGGGTTAGAGGGGCTCAGCTGAAGTTCTTGAGAACTCATTTTGATAAACAAAACAAAAACAGAAAAGAAAAAAAAAAAAAAAAACAACCAAAAAAGCAGAAGTGCTAAGCTTTTAATCAAGGGAGCAAGACAGTAGGAAGAGTCCAACCTCTCTCCACACAGCCCCCTCCTGGCCATCACTGGGAAAATCCTGACTCAAAGTTTCAAATACTATTTTCTGTTATATACCCATTTCTCCTTACCTGCTTTCTGGGGAAAATAAATATCAATACCGATCCCCGGAGTAAAAGCAGACAGTCTGGACAGGGTAGATCTAAACTTCAGCTTCCAGTAAAGTTTGATTTTTTTTCTCTTTTTAGAGAAACATTTTTTATTAATCTCTACAACGGTTCAAATAGCTACCGTAAGAGTAAAATTTCTAAATGCATTGTCTTGGAATGAGCACAACCCCTTTTGTAGCAAGACGTCCTTTTACATATTTTTTCTCGTCCCTAAGGTACCTGTAAGAAAAAAAAAAGGAAATAATTTAGTGTAAGGCTTTCCTACTGGACATCCAACAGTTGTATTAATGAGATGGGTACAGATTAGTAATTTGATGGCTTTCGAGATCGTTTAGCCAGGGTGTTCACGGGTGGTGCAAAGTAGGTTTTAGGAGACCTGTTTACCTTCTCACGCTAACATCTTTGAGTCAAAGAGAGTGGGACAGCTACTACGCGAACTAGGGCATCTGTCCCAAGTAACTCCATTCTGCTGCCCTTTTACCAAAAGGTTTTTCAATTTCCAGACTGTGACAGGCCACCTGCCCACGTAGCTCTCTGGAAAGTGTCCTAGGCTCTAAGGATGCCACATCGGCCCATTCTAGCGACGTGGGGTTCAGAGAGAAGATGAGTGCTACGACTCCGACCCTCGGAGACCATCCCGGTACCTTTGGTTATTAAAAGCGCTTCCGGGAGAGGCCAGCCGGAGAGATCGAAGAAGGTATTGATGGCAGCTGCTTCTAGGCTTCAGCAAGGTCTCCATTCACCAAAGGAGTCTACACCGTCCCGCCCTCTCCCCACCCGAACCTGGACACCCCCAACGTCCCGCAGAGGCAATACCAAGACCCCATTCCACCCAAGATTCAAAGTAGTGAAACAGGAGACGCTCCCCCGCCTCTCAAACCAATTGAGCACTGCGCAGGACTCTGACACCTGGTCGCGCCCCCCCGCGGGGTGGGGTCTTTTGGTCGGAATATGGCGGCTGCGGCGGGGTCTACGGGTCACTCTCCGAGGCGCCCTTGACTGGCTCTCCGACGCGCCACCTACCTTGCTAGCTAGGGGCCCGGCGCGCTACGCGAAGGGGCGGGAAGGAGCGCTGACGAGCACTGGGCAGCGCCAATCAGCACCGAGGAGTCCGGACCGCGCCCAATCAGGAGCCGGGTGGCCACGAAGGGGGTAGGTTGCAGGCGAGCAGCGCATGTGGCGGACGCCGAGCGCCCGGGACCTCACCTGCTGCTGCGACTGAGCCGCCCACCTCGCTGCTTCCCGAGCGCTGCACATCAGGGCCCCGGTGCCGGCTTGACGACGCCAAGGAAGCAGGGAGCCAACAACGCTGACCGGCTGTTGGCCTGCCGCGTTCGCGGCCTGAGCCCAGGAAGGCCTCTTGCAGAGGTTGCGGGGCCACCCCCGCGACTGTGCCATGACCGACTCTCTCCGCAAAGGGGACTCTTCCTCAACGTTTACTGCAGAGAGAGATGAAAAGCCTGTTAGACCGTGAGACGAGCTCGGGGCCGACCGACTAGGGGCACTCGCGGCAGGCCGCCCGCGCCTTCCCGGACCCGTTCTTTTTGCCCTGAGAGGGAGGCCTAGTTCGCCTCCGGGCGCGCAGCGGGAGCCGAGGGGTGGGGCAAGAGGGTCTGGGCGGGGCGCGCGTCGGCGGCATGTTCCTGCGGAGGCCGCGGGCCCTGGCCGCCTGGCTAGCGGGCGCGGCGGCGGCGGGACGCGCGGGGGCGCGGGGCGGGGGCCTGCTAGCCCTGCTGGCCAATCAGTGCCGCTTCGTGACGGGCCTGCGTGTGCGGCGCGCGCAGCAGATCGCGCAGCTGTACGGCCGCCTCTACTCGGAGACCTCGCGCCGCGTCCTTCTCGGCCGCCTCTGGCGCCGGCTGCGCGGCCGCCCCGGCCATGCCTCTGCCTTGATGGCGGCGCTCGCTGGCGCGTTCGTGTGGGACGAGGAGAGGATCCAGGAGGAGGAGTTGCAGAGGTGAGTCCGGAGACGAGGTCGTTCGGTCCGGTTCGCTGGCGCGGGTCAGATTGGGAGATCGGCACGTCGATCCTCGGGGCCTGCCTTTTCGGTCAGTGTGTCCGGTTTACCCGGTGGTACTTGAAGTGACGATGCAGTAACTCGATCCTGTTTTAGCACACCATGTTTTTCTTATTGTCTTTCTGTGCTAATTTCATTTGTCTGGCTAGAAATAACGAAATGCAGATTGGTGTAGGTGGGAAGACTTTGAATAGGGAGCATCACGCCGAAGAAATAACGTTGTAAAAAACAAATTAGGTCTTGAAGGCATGTAACCCATTGGTTCACGTAATCTTTAATTCTTCCAAAAAGGTGCAAATTCAATGCAGGTTTCAAATTTGACCTAAGGATATGTAATTTACAAAATTACTGCATTCCAAATGGGATTTCGTGAGAAATGCCAGGAGAGCTCTTTTGCTGCTGTGACAGAATTATGAGGCTGGAAAGGCTTTTGGCTTCTCAAACCAGTAGCCCAGCCATTTTAACCTGCAAAAATTAGGTCAGTTTTTTGCTGCTTTAACTACAACTTAGGGAATAGTGTTTCATTAGGCTCTGAAGTTATGCTGTCATCATCATCAAAATTTCTGGGTGAAAAATGCAGTACCATTGGTTGACTTTGATAATCTGTGGTTCTGAATCTTAATCCTTATAGTTTTCAACTAATTTCATGGGAAGCCTTGATTTAGTTCTTGCTTTACAGTATCTTTGTGTTTTCTTTTTTTAGTAAACTTTTTTTTTAAGTTTATTTATTTCGAGAGAGAGCATAAGTGGGAGAGGAACAGAAAAAGGGAGAGAGAGGGAGAGAATCCCAAGCAGGATCCGAAGTGTCAGCGCAGAGCCCACAACCGTGAGATAATGACCTGAGCCGAAATCAGAGTCCAGATGCTTAACCAACTGACCCACGCAGGCGCCCCTCTGTATTTTCCTTTTAACAGATATCCCCTCTCTCCCTCCACCCCCTAAATTTTTGTTTCCCTGTAAATCTTTACAAAATTAGGTGGTTGGCCCTAGGCTATGGTTTTTGATCCCTGCATTACTATGATATACATATAGAAAACTTACTAGTTACTAAATATCCACCTTGAGGATATAAATGCAATTGAAAATCTTAATCTTATTCACAAAAATGTTAAGATACCAAAGCATGATAGGTTGCTTGCCTAGTTTCTGTTAGTATTCTTGTGCAACTTCTCAGTCTCAGGTATGGGAAATAAAAAGACTTATGGGAGGAAAACCTTTGTATTAAGAAATTATCAATTAACTGTTTGAATTTTCGTTTTCTTTTTGATGATGAAATACCCATGTTTCCCAGTAGTCAAGTTTGAGAGGAAAATTCCCAGTTGGATCTATTTAGGAAAGACAAGAAAACCAGAAAAGGGCTACCTGGTGCAAAAGAGAGGGAGATGTTTTGGGATGGGAATTGAATAGCATTGGGGGCCTGGGTGGTAGATGACGTTCTTTGGCTTATTTCATGTGTTTTTATGGACAGTCTGTCCTGGAGCCTTTGTTTAGTAGGCCTCCCATTAGCAGGAGCTAGAGAGGAAAACAAGATAAAAAATGCATGTGGTAAACATTTGAGTCCGTAGTCACTACCCACTGTAGCAGAAAGAGACCAGTTGATGGCCAGGCCCTGTATTCGTACCATTTCCCTTCTCTTTGAGCTGTCTGTGAAACCCGGGGGCATTTGAAACACTCTTGGTTCTAATCCAGCTCCTGAAGAGGTATTGCCCTCTGTTAACCCACTCGCGAATTTCATAAGCTTAGATGAAGGCCAGTCAGAACACTTAAGGTCCTTTCTGATTCTCCAGAGTTGTTCTAGTAAAGACCTTCGTTTAACAATTTGTTTTCTAGTTCATGCTTGAATTCAGTCATATACCTAAAATTTGATGAAGGTGTCCATTTTGAGAACTAAAAAAAAACGTTTGTTACCTTGCTAGGGAGACGAATAGTAATGCTGTTCAACTATATGCCGATTGTACGGTGGTTCTATAGGTTTCTTATGTTTCTAATATCTTGTCATATATTTTATTTAATAAAATATTCTGGGTTCAGGTGAACATTTTTTGTTTGTCGTTTAAGTATTTTATTTGCTTTAAAGGAGGCACTGCTGAGGTTCTTATAGCTAGTTTGGAACATCTTAGATTTTGTTTGTTCTAGTGAAATGATTTTGGGTGGCTTCCATAATGGAGCGCGGTTGAATGTGCCTCAGGACAAGTGCATTTTTTTCATTGTTAATGGAAGAAGAGCATGATTGTCCCATGGCCCCTAAATCACAGCATTTGGTTCTTCTGTGCTGTTTTTGTACCAACTTGTGCTGGTACTCTTTGAATGTATGCTTTAAACATGGCGTGTGTTTTTTCTTATGTTACTTGAGTCTCCGTTCAGAATGAAAAGGAATAACCTGGCTTTCAATTCTTCTATGCTTGAGAACATCTTAACAAATAGAATCTCATTTATTTAGCAACAGCAAGAAAATTTGAGAAATGGAGTAACGTGTACAAAGTGACTCTGGCACACTAATGGGCACCAGGTGTAGAAATCGGGTCTTTTAATGCTTGGCCTAGTATTCTTACCCAGTGGCTTCAATTAAACAAATCAAACAAAATAATTTTCAATCATTGTTTTTGGTACTAGCTGGCATTCTGTGAGCCCAGGACAGATCTTATGGAAAAATACAGTAGTAATTTTTTATTGCTTTGGAACATTAAAAAAAAAATTACAAGAACAAAAGGAGGAAGGAAGTTAAGAAATATGAAAGGCTAGGGGAAAATGTTCTATTAACCCCTCCTCCTGTTAAAAAAGTTACAGTCCATTGCTCCAGAAATTTGAGTAAATAAGTGCCAGTAAAATTTCATAAAGAAATTGTTTAGTTTCCCGCTTTTATCTCGGGGCATTTAGAATAATTGTAACTTTTGTTACATTGTTTTGTGTATCATTAATTAGATAAATGACCAACGAAAGGTCCTTCATCTTTTTTTTTTTTTTTTAATTTTTTTTTTTTCAATGTTTATTTTTGGGACAGAGAGAGACAGAGCATGAACGGGGGAGGGGCAGAGAGAGAGGGAGACACAGAATCGGAAACAGGCTCCAGGCTCTGAGCCATCAGCCCAGAGCCCGACGCGGGGCTCGAACTCACGGACCGCGAGATCGTGACCTGGCTGAAGTCGGACGCTTAACCGACTGCGCCACCCAGGCGCCCCAGTCCTTCATCTTTTTTGCCACTGTCACTTGAAGATTTTTTGCTGGCATACCCTTCTTAGATCATCAGAACTACATTAAACCTGACTTGAAATTTTTTACATTGTCTTCATTATTTTACCGTTAACCAGTTGGCCCAGAATTGCAGTGAGCTAGCTGATGTTTTGTTATTTGTAGATGTGTTGTCTCGTAACAGTTGTACTTGAAAGTTTCTAACTTTGATCGTAATTTGTAATTTAAGGAAGGGATTATGTGAATTGAGGCAGTTGTTTTACTGAAATTACTAATTTCGGGATGGCTAATTTCGGGATGGCTTTATTTGAATCATTTTGGGCCCTTATATCAAACCCTATACTGGGGCAGGACTTACGTGGCCAAACCTGGTTGTACTTATTACTCTGTTTTAATAGTTTTATGTCTTCATTTTCTTTCTATACCTCTCAATCCATATTGAAATGACTTTAGTTTTGGAGAAAGGTAAGCATTGGCTGTCTTTTTCTTAATCCTTTTACTAATCTGCTGGTTCTGTTACTATTTTGGGAATAATCTCTTTTGTCCTTTCTTCTTATTACCTGTTTAAGTCTCTTAGATAACAAGGTTTAGGCACTCACCCTGTCCAAACAGGATTTGGCACAGCAGGCTAAAGAGATGTATGGCGAGAGGTTTTCCTTCCTCCACATACAGGATAGTGACTGACTTTGAACACCTGTGTGCTGCTAATGATGTCTGTCATGTCAGCATTTAGAAGTTGAGACTCTTCAGGGGCGCCTAGGTGTCTCAGTCCGTTAAGCGACTGACTTTGGCTCAGGTCATGATCTCACAGTTTGTGGGTTTGGGCCCCACATCGAGCTCTGGCTCAGAGCCTGTAGCCTGCTTCTGATTCTGTGTCTTCCTCTCTCTCTGCCCTTCCCTCTGCTTGCAGTCTGCCTCTCTCTCTCAAAAATAAATAAACATTAAAAAAAAAAAAAAGAAGAAGTTGAGACCCTTCACATATTGTTGAATCTGTGGACAAGAATCATTTGCATTTTCATGTCGCAGTCTTGTGCCAGCATTCAGATTATGCTATTTCAAGTATGAATGTCAGGCCTTCACAAGACACTTCTCTCCCCCTCTGGGGACTTGGTCTCATAATTTTAATCAAGGTCACCTAGTGGCCTTTAATTATATAGGAGAGGTTGATAAAGCAATGGGTCAGAAGCTCTGTACCACCTTAGAAGGCCATTAAAAGTATTGCCTATAGTCATATAATTTTCTTAAAACCTTACTATGTAATTTTATGAGCCTCTGATGAAGTTTTAATAAGACATTCCTCCCCTTCTTCATTATGTGATAAGAATGACATTCATTATGTGATAAGAATGACATTATGTGATAAGAATGGTGCTTAATTTTTACTGAAGAATGCTTTACTAGTCCTGAAAAGTGTCATAATTGGTGCTGTGTGATGCCTGAATTGTTCTCTGAGCCAGTCTGGTTCTGGTTTTGCTTTTGCTTTTTTCTCTGAAAGATCTTACTGTATAAAGTTCCTTTCCTATTTCTATATGTGTTTGTAGTGGTAGCAGTGAATCCTGTTTTGCAATTTTTAATTCAAATTAAAACTTTTTAAAAATGGTTAAACTTTTTTCATCAGAACATCAGTATAAATTGTACTGGCTAGGGTTCTTGGTTGCAAACAGAGGTGATATTGGTTAATTTAAGCCAAAGGGATTAATCAGAAAGATGTTAGGTCACTCAGGGCATTGACAAGAAGACCAGAGTACAGG